CATATCAACAAGGATCAAATCACAAAGCATATTTTTGTCATTATTGAATTGAATTCCTCGTGCCTGGGAAAACCACGTTGTTAAATGCTATTGACCTGGTACTGTACCAAGTTCAGATTGTTGAAGGACTTGGAAGTGCAAGATCGGAAACCTCATGCACACAATCATACACGTTTGCCAACTAAACATTTAAGGTGAAGGAGAATGACTTCGGTCATGCCAAGTCTTCTTTTTGATCATTTAACATGCGTTCCAAGACTGCCTGTGAAAAGCGTAGCCAGAATATGTTGAAGTCAGAATCTCTCCACAATTGTCTGAAACCGTTCCCATACTCTTCAGCAATTCCAAAACACTTGTTAACCTCTCCAGCTTCTTCAAACGTTGCATTTTCTGATGAGTAACCTTAAATTGTTTTTTTTTTCCAGATTCAGGTACTCCACATCGCTTTGATTTCACATAGCCAATCCCAGCATCTCAGAAAGCACAAATGTTGATGAAACATGTTAATAGCCTCTGAGTTAAACATATAATAATACAATAATAAACTTGGTCACAAAAATATGCATGTCATTTTTTTATCCATGCAAACAACCCCCAAATCTGCTGAAATATGACTGGTCAGTGGTGGTATGATGGCATATGGACATTTTCCACTCAAAGGACTTGGTATATTGCAAGTCCCAATACAGCAGGTATTGGGGTGAATGCACTTTCAGTATCCTGACAGCAAACTTGGCACACGTCAAATCAAAAAGCCGCTCAAGTGTCCAAATATTTTTAATGGTGCTTTTTTTTTTTTCTTTCAACGATAGTTAAGCTAATAAGCATTAAACTGGGGGGGAACTTAACAGCATCTGGTTTGACATTGAAATCTTCTTGAAGGATAAATCGATCAATTTAGCCATAATTGTTTTTTGTTTTTTTTTAATATTATGGAATAATGCAATCACTCAATGTTCTCATCTGTTTTGAGACCAGCGTTGCATTAGGCAGTACAGTAAATATTCTCTAGTGCGGACTCGTGTTTGCGCTGTCCAATTTGTCCTGATAACAGAAATTCCTCATTTGGGAAATGAGCATGGCACATGTCCTTTATGAACCTGCAAGTATGTTGACAAAAATGCACGTGTAACAACACAATCATAAAATACAAAAATATACTGTCCAAAAACT